GATCACGGATTAGGGTGGGCCCTGAACCCACGAGGGCCCTTGGAAGACACAGAGACACGGAAAGGGGCCACTCGGCCAGCTACAAGCCCAGGGACCAACAAGCCCAGGGACCGCCGGAAGCTGGAACAGACAAGGAGCGACGCCCCACGAATTTCAGAGGGACTACAGCCCTGCGTTTGGACTTTTGTTCCCCAGAACCATGAGGGGACGACGGGACACCGTCTGCAGACAGACCAACGGGACTCACTCCGTCTGCACCAGATGCCCTGGTCTCCACTCTGTGCCTCAGGGACGTGGCTGGGACAAGTTGTGGCCTTGGATCCTGCTTTGCAATCAGTGGCCAAGCAAACAGTGTTTGGCCTCAGGCTCCTGCTCTGTAAGATGGGCTGTCACGTGTGGGGCCACCGGGCCTCCGTGCTCTTGAGTCCCACCTGGTGAGGGAGCTCCGCGTGACCGGTGCCCTTAACGGGCCTGGGCAGAAAGCACCGTGATGGGTGTCCTGCTTCACCCAGAGACCAGCGTCCTGGGAGGGCATGCATCCTGCAGCTGGCTCATCGGGCTCCTCTTTCGCATTTCCCCGCCCTGGAGGGACGTGCCCGGCATGTGGTGCCTGTCCTGCCTCTGCCTGATGTCTGGGAACGGTGATGGGGCAAGAATCTGGTGTGGGCAGGCTGACAGGAGGTCGGGGCTTGTTCACCTGGCCAGTGTCTGTCCCTGGGACCCTCTGTCTTTTAGACCCCCGGAGGAGCGGGCCCCTCGGCCTCAAGATCTGCCTTAAACCTCAAATCCCAGTTGCAAAGGGACCTCTCCCCACTGAGCAGGCTGGGAGAGACCTCTGAGAACCAACTGTGCCCAGCACAGGGCTCTGTGGCTGCCACGGCCCAGGGCCCAGGCGAGCTGAGGGCCTCAGTGGGAGAGCCCGACTTTGCCGACTTTGATTTCATGCCGGAGGGCAGCACCAGCAAAGCACGTGATTCCAAAGCTGTTAGGATCCTGGAGGCTGAGTTAGTGCAGAGGTGTGCAGGCCCAAGGAAAAGGCCTCAATTAAAAATTATCAAAGAAAAGGAGCGCCTGGGTGGCTCAGCCTGTTGAGGGCTGACTCGTGATTTTGGCTCAGGTCATGATCTCAGGGTTGTGGGATGGAGCCCCATGTCAGGCACTTCGCTCCGTGCGGAGTCTGCTGGAAATTTTCCCTCTGCCCCTCCCCCACTCACATTTCCTCTTTCTCTCAAATAAATCTTCAAAAAAAATTTATCAAAGAACATCCACAGGAAAAACAACCAAGCCTGCCTCGATGGCACCTTCAGTACAAGTCTTCCCACAGGGCAGGCCCTGCCCTGCCCCCGGCCCCTTCCCTGCTCCTGGGACCCAGGTGACCAGAGTGGAGAACCAAACCCCAGCCCTGCACAGCCCCCCGGTGCAGTGCCCTGCGGTCCCAGCAGGACCCCGAGCCCCTCTGAAATGGGCCCTGAAGTCCTGTCAGGGGAGGCCTGCAAGGGCTCGCCCCTTCCTGTCCGGGCTGTCTCCCATGTGTCCCCCATTCCGAGATACCCCTGTCATGTTGGGACAGCGCCCAGACGTACGAGATAATCAACACCGGGTTCAGGAGCCTCCACTTGCCGTGCAGACCACACCCATGTCTCCCAGCATTTTGGGGCCAACATCTCGGCAGCGGGGTGAGTTTGTGTGAGCTGCTGCAAGCCTGGGGTGTAGGGGCAGGGGGCTGGGGGGCAGGACTGCTTGGTGCATGGAGACCTAGCCTCCACGACCTCCCTCGGCAGAGGATATCCTGCTCAGACTCGGCGTGGGAGGGAGGAGGCGCTCTATGGGCCCTTTACACCCGGACACCCGGGCAGTCCACGCTGTAACCGCTCTCCCGCTGGCGCTGCAGCCCGAGCAAAACCACACGGGTCCACACGGGTCCCACTGTGTGTCCTCTGGGACCGACCTGGGCAGAGGGACGCACCTTCTGCACCCCACTCCCATCTCTGGTCTGAGGAACGCCTGCCTGGCTTTGGGAACGGGCTGGCCTTAGGGCCGTGGCCCCCGTGGGGCGTCACACATAAGGGGTCCACAGACCAAAAGGGCAAAAGCAGGTGGCAAGCATGAGCCCCCAAGTGCCCTCCACCCACCCAGTCTGCCTGCTTCTCTGTGGCCTCCCCTGCTTTGTGCCACCGGACCCGAAATGCTGACCTGAGCTCTGTCTCCCCTCCTGAAAATGCTGGGAGCAAATCCAGACACCTCGCATGGCGCCAGGCACCACGGATGCCCTCCCACCCACAGCCACAGGGCAGCTGAGCAGCTCCCACACCAAGATCCCAGCCTGGGGCCGTGCAGAGCCGTCCCTTTGTCCCCTTAACTCTGTGCCTTCATCCAGCTGCCCCCCCGCCGCCCTCAGTCCTGGTCTGCGCTGGCGCCCCGTCTGCCTGTCTACAATTCTCCTGTTCATGCGCTGTCTGGTGTCCCCACCCCACAGCCGAGCCCTGGCCAGCAGGGCCAAGTCCCTGTCGGGGCTCAGCAGCCAGTCACACTCAGGGCCTCAGAAGGTTCCAGTGAAGGAGAGTGGGAAGAGCAAGGGTGGACTGCTCACGGGTCTCGAGGGAATGAGCCCAGCAGAGGCCTGGTGGCCGACCAATGGCCAGCTGAACTCAAACCCCCTCTGCAGCCCTCGGGCCCCCGTGGGTGCTTCGTGGGCTGGGGAGGAAGACCGGCCACTCAGAGCCCGGGGGAGCAGGGCACCCGGGGTCTGTGCCATGATGCAGCCTGGCTGGGGGACAGTCTGAGCACCATCGAGCCGAGCCCCGGCCCCAAGGATCCGGGCCCTCCCGCCTGCCATCAGCATGGGGACCCAGGGCGACGGGCAGGCTGCCCGAGGGAAGAAGAGTCAGACCACGGACTCCGTGGGAGGAGAAGGGCGTCAATTTTGCAACCATATATCCCCCAGAAGGGAAGGCATTCATCTGGGAACAACACAACTGTCTTGAAGAAAACCAGGAGGCAGAATTCTGCAGACGCCACACTGTATCCCGAGTTCAGAAAGGAACTGCTTCGGGGCAAGGGGGGTGTGGGGGGGCGCAGGGGGGGGGAATGTTTCCTATAGCAACAACATCACAAACACATTAGGTATCCGAGCCGAACAAAAGCTCTTTGCTATCCAACTGAATTTGTTTTTACAAAAGTCAGGTCACCCCCTCCACATTCCTCATCTGTCTGTAGCTAATCAGACCGGCCCAGCAAATACCTTCATGAGCGGATCTTCTATCAAATGACACACTTCCTGGCTGCACAAAGTCTGGTCCGCCGGGTCCCGCCCAGCTGACTGCTCCACGAGGCTGCACAGGGAAGCCCCGACCAGGGTCCTCAAGACTCGAGGACTAAGGCAGATGATAAAGTCCTGTCTTCAAGGAGGTGCTAGACCCTGGAGCCCCGGGAAGGCTCTCGGAGTGCAGTGGGAGCCCCTGGAGCAGCAGCCCCGCACACACTCAGGGCCAACTGGCCCCTCCCAGCCCTGCCTGGTCAGCGCACCTGAGGCTGGGTGGGGGTTAAGGATTTCCTGGCTGATCTGACACATGCTCCCAGGATGACGTCGGGCTCCCTTTCTTGCCCCAGAAAGCGGTCTGGAAATCAGGTGGGATTTCCCCCTCGATGCTGCTGCTGATCGTAGCTCGTGGGTGCTGGGGTCTCATTAGGTCCCAGAGCCACGCTAGGAACCTTCACACACGTGAATGTATTCAATAAAGACGGTCTGCCCAAATTATCTGGGTTCTCACTTCCACGTTACTAGGTTGGTGTAGACCAGCATGTGGGCTTCTCTCTAGCCCCAGAGAGGGCCCATGTGCACCCAATTCTCCCAAATCATGAACCCCCCCTGCACAGGCCCACGGCCTGCGGATGCTGAGTTCCTATGATGCGTGGGGCCCTGTGTGGCCATTAGGGGAAGGGAGCATGAGAGCCCAGGAACTGAAGGAACGGATTTCTGGGTATCAAGGGCAGAAGCCCGGAGAACACGGCAGATACAGGGCCATCACGGGCTTTCCACCCACTCGATTCATGGCTAGGCAGCACGTGAAGAGGGTGGGCTAGGACGCCCACAGAGGCCCACGGAGTGCCCTGCTGGAGAAGACTGCACACGAGGGGCACGCAGCCCTGTGCTGGCATGCGATCTTGGACGACGCGGATCGAGCCCCAATTCCGGCTCTCCTGCTGCGAAGCTGGGGGCACGAGTGCTGCCCTCCCGCACCCCAGGGCTCTGAGAGCACTCGGTCGTGGACAGAGGCCAACACAGAGGCTACGGGGCACCACTGTGCCTCCGCGTGTCACCCGCACACACGTGGCTGTGCGCCCTCTTGGTGACCCTCTCTGAAGGGGCCCTCAGAAGCTGCCCTGCGCCAGCCCCTGGGGGATCGCTGGTCCCACCCCCCCAGGAGAAACGCGTACTTCCCTTCCCAGCACCGAGAGGACGCACTGCCACCAAGTGCCATGCCGTGGGTGACCCACACGGATAAGACGAAGTGGCAGACCACAGTGGGAGGGGTTGGCATGGCCAGATGCTGGGGCTGGTGGGGGGCTCCTACATCCTCCCTGGGGGCGGCCACCCTCCATCGAACAGGCACTTGAGATGTGGGCCCCCGTGTGCGCGATCTGCCTCGGTCACGGTTCCATCCCACCTCGAGTTCCGTGTGCCGGGCGCAGCCCCGAGGTCCCTCTGCGAACTGCCATGTCCCCATCCCACCCCCGCCCTCACGTGTGGGTCGGAGAGTGGGGTTTGAGGGGACGGGTTGGGCCATTTCTCCCCATCACTCGGGATTTAACTTTGCTGTTCAGCCTCTGTAACAACGTCAGTGCCTCCTGCCAGCCAGCGTGACCGGCTCAAAGGAAACCGTGCAGGCTGGCACGGCAGACCTTCGGGCCGGGGCATTCAGGGCCGGGGACCACTCCCACCACAGGCACAGCAGGGCCTTGAAGGACACCTGGCGGGGGCGCCCGGAGCTTGCACTCACCCTTCCCAATCTGGATGAAGCCGAGCAGAATGATCAAGGCCAGCGCCAGGAGCTTGGCGGCGGCGAAGGCGTCCTGGACCCGGGTGGCGGCCTTCACGCTGTAGCAGTTCACGGCCGTGAGCAGCACTGCGGAGAGAGGGCAGCAGTGAGTTGCGCAGGACGGGCGGCCCCAGCGGACAGGGGCAGCCCCAGACAGGGGAGCCCAGCCCCTCTGGCGGCTCACACCTTCTGGGCCTTGTTCTGACTGACAGCTCTCCAGGCTCAAGGTCAGAGGCTGAGAAGCACACTTCTTGACTCTCAAAAACCTACAATCCCACACACCCCTAGGCTATCATAAAAATTTTTTAAAAAGATTTTTATTTATTTGAGAGAGAGCGCGAGAGGGAACACGAGCAGGGGGAGTGGCAGGCAGAGGGAGAGGGAGAAGCAGGCTTCCCGCCAAGCAGGGAACCGGACATGGGACTCGATGCCAGGACCCTGGGATCATGACGTGAGCCGAAGGCTGAGCCACCCAGGTGCCCTCTCATAAAGAACTTTTTTTTTTTTTAATATTTTATTTATTTATTTGACAGCGTGAGAGAGCACAAGCAGGGGGAACAGTTGAGGGAGAGGGAGAAGCAGGCTCCCCGCGGAGCAGGGAGCCCAACGTGGGGCTCGATCCCAGGACCCTGGGACCATGACCTGAGCCGAAGGCAGACGCTTAACGACTGAGCCACCCAGGCGCCCCCATAAAGAACTTTTAATGAATGAATTTCAACCTCCTGCCAGACTCTGACCACAGCCCTGCCCCGCCCTGCCCACGCCCCACCTGCTGCACACCTGAGGCCTATCCTCAGAGAGCAGGTTACAAATACAAATGCACCTTTGCCACCGGAAGGAGTCTGTGCTCACCTGTGTGCACCCCTCCCCATTTCAGCCTAATTCAGGTGCCCACACAGCCCACCTAACTTCCCGAAGGTGGGAAACTCTTTTTGCAGAGAGAACCTTCTGGAATCCCACAGAGGAAACAGGTAAGTGAGGTACTGTTCGCATGAATCCACGTGACAAGCCAAGTGATGGGACCCCGGGGGGCAATTCTGACACGTGAGATGGGGACTGAAGGCGAGGCCAAGCCCAAGGAGGGGGCGTCAGCCAGAGGCGACACTCAGCTGGGCCCAGCTGGGGGCTTTAATAGTGTACGTTGAAAACTGGAAGTCACACCAGTCATAGCTGGTCCCGACCTGGAAGGCGGGGGACGTGGGGCTGAGCGGAGGGGGGCACAGGTGGGCCCCCAGGCCAGGCTCCACAAACGCGCCCGGACGCACACAAGCAGGCCCTGCCTGGCTTCCCGGGAGACCCCTGGCCCTGACCCGAGCTGGAAGCATCCGTGTGGTGACGGAGTGGGTGTGCAGGAGGCGCGGTCAAGCGTGCAGGGACCCCGGGAGCTGGCTGTTACCGCACCCACTTACAACGAAGCAAAACTACATTAAAACGAAGGCAACAGATCCTCAGCGCTCAGACCTTCCAGTCCACTGCTCCTCCGTCGTGTGTGCTCTCGGCCGCCACGAGGGCGAGCTGGCCAGGCTGCGGCTCGGCTCTGCGCACAGCGCCCTCCCGGAGGCTCGCGCGACCAGCTGCCCGGCAGCACCCACAGCAGGGAATCCGCAAGGGCACAGAGCGGGGCCCTCCTTTCTCGGGGGCTGGTCCTCCAACTTTAACCCGCAGGACCTGTACCTGGGAAGGGCCTCTGCACGAGCCCTCCACACCCGCTGCTTCTCCACGGGCTGCAGTTAAGGTAAGAAACGCTGGAAAGGT